AAACAGTGTTGTTGTCTTTATGTTTCAACTTTCTAATGATGCTCCAGCCTGGACTGATCTAGGTATAATGAAAAAAAATTAAGAAGAGTTTTACTTGTCACCATGAAGCTCATCTGCTTTTTCTCAGATAGCCCTCTGCTTTCTGGAGTCACATCATTTCCCGGATCTCACTCCTGACAATGCTTCTTCAGCTGGTATCTCCTGGCTCAACGCTATTCTCTTCCTTCCCCAGTCAGCTGACAGATGATTCCTCCTCACCACAGCTATCTTAATCGGCTCTCTTTTCCTTTCACTGAGTCCCAGGCCCTCCCTTGTTTACATCTGGGTCTCTCTCTCTCTCTCTCTCTCTCTCTCTCTCTCCACTTTCCCCCCGGGGCTGCTCTGTCCTCATTGAGCAGCTGATTCTGAAACGTGGCTTCCTTCTTTTTTTTGCTGTTTCCTGTCTGTTTCTGGTTTGTGCCATTGCTGGCTCTTTCTCATCATCATGACGTGGCATCAGATCAAGCATCGTAAAGTCAAAACTCACGTCAGAAAGTCAAAACAGGGTGTCAATTTATAAATGTTCTAAATGCTTTTCATTGTAACTTGAAATATCTGAATTCGAGGACTGCCTGTACTATACTAGGTCATTTTGGGGAAAATATACACTAACTGGCTGTAATCACCATGAAAGAAAAAGGATACAGAGTTGAACAGGGATGGAATCAGTTAGGCTTCAGAAATTAAACAGCATTTTGTTGCACTTTTCCTTGAAACCTGCAGATTTTATTACAAAATGGCATTCTGTAAACTATTCTATTGAATTTAATAGAGAATTGTTTCCTTAATACACAATTCTATGGCTTGCTTTAGAAGTTCTGTAGAAAGATTGCTTATTCTTTCCTCCTACAAGGCTATATTCATTTTTTTAAATATAGAAAACAAAACCAAACCATGTTTAAAACCCAAGCAGGTAATTCTAACAGAATTAACACTTAAAATGTATTGTATTTGAGTATCAATCTTCAGGTCTGTCCTGGGGCTTAGTGGAATAGGTTTATTTATGATTTTTTGAGCTGCTGCTGATCCTGGTGTTTGCTAGTACGGGAAGCCTCATGAAGATGATTGATGCTGGTGGGACAGAAGAGTTTAGTGTACTCCCATATTTGC